ACCGAATAGGAAAAGAGGTTGTCACAGCAATACCTCCTTCTTCGAGTTTTTTTTTTAAAGTTCAACAATATCTCCGTCTCTTCCGACCATGGCTCGGTCAGAGAAAGTGGCTAGGGTCTCATACGCATGGCGATAATAATCATACTCTAAGCTTCATTGAAAACCCAGACACTCTGCTAACCATTCGCTCTCTCTTCCTGTATGGCCAGACTCTATGGAATGCCGTAGAGTGCTCATTCAATTGTTGTCGCTCCCCCCTCATTAATAAAGGGGCATCCAGCATTGCCACAGTATTAGCTCGGGCGGGCCTTCGGAGCTTTCTCATTGGGACTCTTTTGTTTAGACCAGTTCCAACGATATTTCAAAATGCGCAAATGATTGAGAACAATTTGGTAAAGTCTTATACGAATGATCTCTTTTAGCTTTATTTCTCTTTGGCTTACGCATGTCAGTTTCTTAACTTGTTTGACTCCTACTTGCTATAGAATTGAGAAAATCGGTTGTTCAAGTAAGCTATGTTGATAATTAGATAGGGGTTGTGAATAACGAACAGTCGCAAGTTTATCGAGATTCCGGGTCTCTGACAACGATTTTGGCCGTCGCGAAGCTTGTAAGTTACCAATGACTAGACGAGATATTCCGCCTTGCATCCTCCAGGCCATGAGAAAAGTAAAAGAAACTCTTGACTCTTCTACTTTGAGGCTCATCCCAATCCAGCAGAAGCGAATAGATCTAGAACGAAGGCAATGGAGTTCTTGCTTGTTTGATTGTTTTGAATTCATGGAACTACGCAATGTTTACAGTTGTCTTTCACCATAGTCAATTCTTTGCCGACCACTATCATAATCGCTGTAATTCCAATCGCTTATCCGGGGTGTCGTAGAAAAAGGCGGTCATGTTGCCTATCTCATGGAAGTCTCCAAGGGAAAGATGCTACGTTTGTATGGCTGGCCCTCCAGAGTATGGGACAATTTACAAAGACTCAGTATCTTGTTTCTTCGAATTTTTCGTCGGGAAAGTTACGACATATCACTTAAGGGAATTGGCGCAGAGAGAGAATCACCCACGTAATGAACAATCATTTGAGACTGAATAGAGGTCTGATAGACAGTTAGAATTGATGTATCAGAATCAAGCTAGTTGTTTTACTGACACAAATGCTAAAAAAAAGGCTTGCGTTTCCCAAGAGCCACCTTTTAGAGCAATCCAAGACAATAGGCCTTGTGGTTAGCTTGAGGTTATGAGATAAGCGCTGGGGAGATACCCCAGTGTTCTCTACAGATATTCACTTTGTTGTTCGGCGATTGGTATTCCTCTTAGCATTATTCCATAAAGCACTACTGTCATTCTCTTCCTCCTCACTCCCAGTTTCCAAGGGCCACGGCTATGTGGCCGAAGCTGTTTGAGCATGATACTCTACCAGGCCTAGAGGAATGAAGAGGTTAACACTTCGCCGTAACTGTAGATAAGCTTTCACTGCTCTGTTTGGCGAGTATGTCATAATCATCTCAGGGTATGTTGAGTGGTGCGTTTTGTTGTGTACATGAGTGTGCAATGTACTACTTGGACAATCGGACGCATTCATAACTACCTAAACTCAGAGTAGCGGTTTAGTGTAGTTGGGTTACAGCTGTTGAATCTCGACGTCAGTTACGATAGGAGAGCACACATAGACAGGCGTAGGGGGGGCCGGACGGGGAAGAAAGACGCCACACTTTGCAAAAGAACGCAATCGTTAGCTTGTGCTATAAATGGGAGTAGGGCTTGCGGATGGCATCCTGATTTTCCGTCCAAAGGCTGGCATAGGCCGCACAGTGTTGCATTGCGGGAAAATCCAATATCCCACTTATGGGCAATAACTTTGTCATATACTACTCATACTATGACCGGGAATGCCCGGGGTGTTTGTTACAAGTCTGCTCCACACACTCAATACAGAGGGCCCTTTGTGGGAGAAAATTGAGCTTATTCTCATCACTCCCCTGCGACGTGATCCGACTGCGGAGTGGTGGATGAAGAAGCTTCAGATGCGCGATATACTACATGGGGTAAGACCGGAAGGTGTTTAATGTAGGTGCTAGCTGATTAGTACCCTCAAAATGGCTGCCTCACTAGGTCCTACTGTAAATTAACTTGGTTGCAGATGTCGATCTGTGGTGGCTAGACATCAGAATGGCTTTGGCTAATCCCATACAAGTCGGGAGAAGTGGAGAGGCCACAATGTAGTCAGGAAGTAGGGATTTTGTATTTTAGACCCTGCCAAAGCTTGAACGAGATGTCGGTAGTGGTCATTGAGGTCGGTCCCTGAGCTTCAAGTTGCAATCCAATAAGGAATCAGTTCGTTCCTGGCACGGATTCAACCGGGAGATCAGCAAAGCTGCGCATTGCTGGATTGCGAGCCTTCAGACGAGCGATGTCACCCGGAAAATTGACAATGGACGAATGACTTCTTCGGCGCGGGTACTCAGTATGTACAGGGCTGTCACCAGATGGAGCTGAGCCATTTTTCTCTCTGCGGGTTATCAGATTGATAAGATGATCTGATACGCCGAGCTATACGCAGGACCCCTCCTGGTCTCCATCTTAGAGGCAGCAACTGCCGTGACTAAACATGCATCATGACGGAAGCGCATCTAACCACACCATGTTCCGTCCTCTTGGCTTCTTGGCAGCCTCGCCACCTCCCTCGTAGAGAAGAAGCTGCTGCGAAGAACGTCGCCGGTCCCCTCCTCTACCCATGCCAGGCCAGCAAGTGTGTGTACTGGAATTGCCCAGTGTGGGCATATCACCGGCGATCGCAAAAGCAATGCAGGACGCGATGATAAAAGAAGAACCGATGCCCCCTCTCGGCGTAGGAGTGATGCTACCTGGCCTGCATCCTCTCACCATCCACAGAAGCTCCCCCTCTCTCTACTCATCTCCCCCCAAGCCCCTATTCCATCGATCATGTCTGAGGCACAGCCGACCTTGATCAGCCTGGCCGCCAAGGTCACTGAGCTTTCCCAAAACTTCACCAAGTACCTTGAGGACAATGGCATCCCTCCGCCCTCACTGGCTGCCGACAGCCCAACGAGCTACTCAGGCCTGAATGCAGAGTCATTCATCCTGCGTCAGCAGCTTCTGGATGCCTTGAATGACATGTGGATCTTGACTCAGGGTCCTAGCGAGAGTATCTTCAACTACGTGCATAATGTAAGAGCATCGGGGTCCCTGGTCGAACATGTGTAATGATGCAACTGACACTCTGCAGGTTATGCCCGATGTCGCATCCCTCAACATCCTGAATCACTTTGACTTCTGGTCAGCCGTCCCCCTTGATGGCTCAGCCTCGTATGCTGCGATTGCAAAGCACACAGCTCTCCCGGAAGAGGTCGTGCGCCGTGTGCTGGAGCACTCGACCACGCTCCAGATCTTCACAAGGGCATCCACGCCGGGGCATGTGCAGCACACATCCCGCTCTGCCGCACTTGCGAAGCAATCAGGCCTGCGCGCGCTGGTGTCTACGGTGCTGGACGATGCTGGTCCCCCAATGTCGGTCATGAACGAGGCTCTGAGCAGGTACAGCCTAAACAAGACTACGTTGACGACGGACATGAAGGAAACCGCCTTCGCGCTGTTTCACAGTGGTGCCACGCGAGGCGGGTACACAACATCCTGGGAGCTCCTAGAGCAGGATGGCGAGGGAGAGAAGAAAGGCTGGAGGCAGAGGAATTTTGTCGAGTTCATGCGATACATCAAGGAGATCTTCCAGTTGGAGAAGGTCATCCTGGAGTCGTATGACTGGAAAGCCGCCGGGAAGGCTACAGTTGTCGATGTAAGCCCTGCTGAACCAACACGCCTTTACCAACCGAACCCTGAAGGCAGAGTGGCTAACGAGAATACTCATTTCTGCAGATTGGTGGCTCAGGAGGCCATGACAGTGTCGTGCTAGCCCAGAATTTCCCAGAGCTCACCATCACTGTACAGGATCTGCCCGAAGCAGGTCCGGCTTTCGAAAAGAACACTCCGGCCGAGCTCAAGAATCGGGTGTCGTTTATGGCGCACGACTTCTTCAAGCCACAGCCTGTTCAAGCAGACATCTACATGATCAAGCTGATCCTGCACGACTGGCCTGACAAGGAGTCCGTCCAGATTCTGCGAGGATTGGTGCCGTCCATGCGCCCCGGCTCACGCGTCCTGTTCATTGACTACGTGGGCAAGCAAAGCAACCCTGAAGGCCTACCACGGTCAATCCAGCAGATGGGAACGGCCACTGATCTGCGGATGATGGCCTTGTTCAGTGCAGAAGAACGTCCGGTTGAGGCATGGAAGGAGATCTTCCGTCAGGCAGATGAGCGCTTCGATATTGTGCGTGTGGAGGCAAATCCTGTGGCCTTTTATGTTGTCATGGAGGCCATCTGGAGGGGGGATTAGGCTGTGGATGTTTTCCTCCCGAGGTAGAAATGTAGTAAAAAAGACAATGCAGCTCGTTGTCAATAAAGAACGGCGTCAGTAGATCCAAAAGTGCAGTACCTTTATTTTCATTTTTTGGGCTCCCCTAGGTGATGATCGCCAGTGGTTTTCCAGCGGTCCAGTGGGTAGATCACCAGGCAGTTCTAGCGGTAATACCCCTCTGTCGCGATCACATGCCAATCATCCAATTTTACATTAGTGACGAGGACCAGGCCATCTTCACCAGGACCACCGCCTGTCTGGCCTCTCCCTCTCCATGCGCATCAGAGTAAACAGCCGACGAATAGTTTATTTCGCAGCCGTGTCGTGCCGCCCGATATCAACTCATTGCCCGGCGACATTAATGGAGCTGGCCAATTAGTCTTATTACCTACCAGCCCTGTCTTTGCGTCCCTCTTCGACCCCTCCGCCTTCCGTCCAAACCCATCCTCCAACCTACGTGTCGCCCCGAACCACCCAGTCCTCCTCATCGACAGCCTCCCATCCAAGACACGGCGTAAGAGCGCATCCGTCACCGCAAAGTGGTCCCTCAGGGACTCGCCGCATCCATGGCGACCACGCTTAGGAGGCGCATCCCCCCAGAGGCCGAGCCTGCCGACGATGAACCTTCGAACCGAACTGATAGCCCGGCGCCCCAGCCAACGTCCCATATCCATGTTATCGAGCGCGGGCCCAAGAAGACGAAACGCCGCAATACTTTCGTCTTCCTTCTCGGCAGTCTCTGCGGCATCATCGGCGCTGGCTTCTTTGCCTCGAGCAATGACATGCTCGATTTCCCCGAGCTTGGGGACCTGAGCATGGATACTATTCTCGACGCTGTCCCGGCCTCTCTCATTTCCGACCTCAGGAGCTTCGTGCAAGGAGAGCGTGCTGCCGTCGACACATATGATTCCTTCTCCGTTGGTCTCAAGTCCCGCGCCGAGGGCCTCCAAGCCCACCACCCCATGATCATGGTGCCCGGCGTCATTTCCACCGGTCTCGAGTCTTGGGGCACTGCCAACATCTCGAGGCCATATTTCCGCAAGCGCCTCTGGGGCAGTTGGTCCATGATGCAGGCCCTCATTCTCGACAAGGAGATGTGGAAGCAGCACATTATGCTTGACAAGCAGACTGGTCTCGACCCTCCCGACATCAAGCTCCGTGCGGCCCAAGGTTTCGATGCCACCGACTTCTTCATCACGGGCTACTGGATCTGGAACAAGATCTTCGAGAACCTGGCCACCATCGGGTACGATCCCACAAACTCCTTCACTGCCGCCTACGACTGGCGGCTGTCCTACCCCAACCTCGAGCGGAGAGACCAGTATTTCACGAGGCTCAAATCCTACATCGAGACAGCCGTCGGGTTCGAGGGGACGAAAGTAGTTTTGGCATCCCACAGCATGGGCAGCCAGGTTGTCTTTTACTTCTTCCACTGGGTCCAGTCCGACCTTGGTGGTAAAGGCGGCCAGGACTGGGTGGAGCGACACATCGAGTCGTGGATCAATATCAGTGGCTGCATGCTTGGCGCCGTCAAGGACCTCACAGCCGTCCTGTCCGGCGAGATGCGCGATACGGCACAGCTCAATGCATTTGCTATTTACGGGCTCGAGAAGTTCCTGAGCAAGGAGGAGCGCGCCGAGCTGTTTCGCGCCATGCCTGGCATCTCCTCCATGCTGCCCATGGGGGGTGATGCCGTCTGGGGCAACCAGACGTGGGCTCCGGACGACCAGCCTGGTCGTAACATCTCATTCGGCACACTTCTCAACTTCCGTGACTATGGCGCCAACTGGACATCACCAGACCGCAACTTCACCGTTGGTGATTCACTCAACTACCTCTTCAACACCACTGAGGACTGGTACCAGAATCAGGTCAAGTCTAGCTACTCGCACGGGGTTGCGCACACCAAGGCCGAGGTGGAAGCGAATGAACTGAATCCTGCCAAATGGATCAATCCGCTTGAGACGAGGCTGCCCCTCGCGCCCAGCCTGAAGATCTACTGCTTCTATGGTTTTGGGAAGCCAACAGAGCGTGCCTACTACTACCGACCACCAGAACCTTCGGTCCTCACAAACCTAAACATCACCATTGACGTCGGCTTGACGGAGGGAGAGGTTGACCACGGGGTGGTCATGGGTGAAGGTGATGGGACTGTCAACTTGCTCAGCACAGGGTACATGTGCAACCGTGGCTGGCAGATGAAGAGGTACAACCCCGCTGGAGTTCAGGTGACAGTTGTAGAGATGCCTCACGAGCCGGAGCGGTTCAGCCCCAGAGGAGGGCCCAAGACGGCGGATCACGTTGACATTCTGGGGAGGCAGAATCTAAACGAGCTCATTCTGAAGGTAGCGGCTGGCAAGGGCTCCACCATTTCCAACTACGTTGCCAGCAACATTCGCAAGTATGCCGCTCGGGTCAAGATCTACGAGGAGGGCGAGGAGGATAGCCAAGAAACGGGCGGGGAGGGCGAGAGCGGCAGATTATAGGGCCACATGCTTTCAGCATTACGCCTGAATTTGTTTGCAGCACTTTTCACAGCATTTGGGTTTCTTCGCCAGGGGCTTGTTCTCGTGAAGATCGACCCTCGTTTGTTTGCTTAGGGCTTTCTCGTCTGTCAATGGAGAAGGAAAAAATACCCTCGGAGATGGCGCAGCTGTCATGAACATAGATAGAAATAGACACAGAGTATCAATACCCATATCAGTAGAAAAAGACGGAACTATACTTAATGGAAATAACCGGGAAAGAGGAGCTTGCGAGTTGATGCATTGGGGTCACCGGAGCTGCACTCATCATCGTGAGATTTATGCGCCGCTGGTCGCGACAAGCTGTGAAACTTAACTTGACCAGTATGCCATGCCCCTTCTCGCGACATCGCATATATATGTAAGTAGGTAGTTGGTTGCCATGCTCTGCCTCCTGGCATGTTGCTTGGATGGAACTACCGGGCTCTATTGCGTTGGAGCCGTCCTGGACGGGCGCCCCCATTCCGCGACCCCACTGACCGTTACAGCAGGTTCCCGGCAACCACCAAACCCCAAACCCAAACTGTCGTCGAACAACATCCTTCTTCTACTTCCCCTTCTTCAATCGCCTCGTCGGCGCTTGACTGCTGTATTATATTGTGAACCATCTCGGGAGGGTCAGTGTCTTATTGTTCTCCCGTTCTTTGTATCTGCCCCATGCTACGTCTTTGGCTGCGTCAAATCTCCCCCGTTTTCCTCCCTCCCAACTGGGCGTCCCTCTCCCCTCTTCGCAACCGGCGGCTCCAATTGCGCCCCCCACCCCACGAAACGTCCGTCGAGAGGTAATCGATTCAAGTCGCTGCCTCAACCTCCCCGGAGGCAAGCATCCTCGAGTAGGGCAAGACACGGCACGGCACTCAGCCCAGCACTCAGCCACCTACCTGACATCCGCCAAGGAGGACAAACGGCCCCGATGCAGGCGAGATTGATCCAGCATTCACCCGGTAAAGATGGCAGATTTCGAGGAGGATTCGTTTCCTACTGAGGGGGAAGAACAGATCTGGAGTGGTATGTGCCTATACAGCATTGCTTTTGTTATCTCGCAGCGTCATCAACCTTGGCCTTGCTCCTATCCCTCCATTAATGAACGTTGCCTCTCCTCAGTGTTCTCCTGCTGACATCTATCCCCGCTACCAAGACCTCACAGCCTGTGTAGAAACCGAATGCGACGGTCACGAAGCCATAGACGATGCCTTGCGCACATGGCTAGAGCTCACGCTCAAGCTCCGCGAACTGCTCAACTGCTCGCAGGAACACATCGTCACATGCTCACATCTGCTATTAAGGAGCCCCTTATTCCGAAATAATAAAGACTACGTTCGACAGCAAATCATCCACAGCCTGCTGCAAGAGGACGACGCTGGCCCTCTCCACGCCATTTCCTGCTTCCTCCTCCTCGATGGCCACCACGAAGAGGCCCTGTTTCCGCGCATGATTGACGAGGCTTGCTTCCCCAAACTTCTTGAGCTTCTGAATGCGCACAAGGAGGACGACCCCATGCTACATCGGTTTCTTTTACAGCTCATGTACGAGATGTCAAGGATGGAACGGCTCCGGCGAGATGATATCCTCTTAGTCAACGACGACTTTATCCATTATCTTTTCGGAATTATACAGAACCTGTCTGACGATGTCCACGACCCATACCACTATCCTACGATCAGAGTTCTAGTTAGTATTCACCATGTCGCCCTTCTTTGCGATGTTGCTCTGGCAACCACATGCTGACAGAGACAAAGCTGGTCTTGAACGAGCAGTATATGCTAGCATCAACAGACGTAACCGCCGATACCCCGCCCCTCACGAATCGAATTGTCAAGTGCCTTAGCCTCCATGGCCCCGACTATCGGACGTTTGGCGAAAACATCATTCTCCTTCTCAACAGGGAAACGGAAACATCGCTTCAACTATTGATTTTAAAGCTTCTATACCTTCTTTTCACGACCAAGGCAACATATGAATACTTTTACACAAACGATTTGAGAGTGCTACTCGATGTTATTATCCGAAACTTGATGGACTTGCCGGACGAGAAGATGGCACTGCGGCATACATATCTCCGTGTCCTCTATCCACTCCTAGCTCACACGCAATTAAGCCAACCACCCCACTACAAAAAGGACGAGGTTTTGAGGCTCCTGAATATACTCCGTGGGTCGCATAATGCTCATTTTGCTCCGGCCGACGAAACAACGCTGCGACTGGTCGATCGCGTATCCAAGGTTTCATGGCTAGACACAGAGCAGGGCAAGGGAGAGGCAGAGGTTGCTCGCAAAATCCTGGGCATCAGTCTCTCCCCATCGCAGACAGACAGCAGTATCAGCGTCTCAAATGTGGCCGAGGTGATGGAAAAGCCAGGGGTCCAAACACCAAGCAGGAACAAATCCGCCAGCGGAGCAGCTGAAGAGGGTGTTCCTGGTCTGCCTCTGAACTCGGAGGTGCCAGTGTTACCCAGAGCAAAGAAGCCGTTGCCAACGGTTCCAAAGCATCGCCACGGCGTGCCGTTTGCTTCGACGGCCAACGGCACGCCAAAGAAAATACCCCCAAAAGCGCCGCCTCCACGACGGCTTGGGAGAACGCGGACGGCTCAACTGGTCTCCCCTACTGAGCCAGTCAAGTCTCCGGAATGAGCAGCAAATTTGATATTTGTACTCTTTTTTTCATTTAATAGGTACTTTTCTTTTTCAAGCGCACCAGCTTTTTGAAGCGCAGGGAGTACCCACAGACACGCACATTGTTTTTGATACGGCCTTTTACGAGCAGCATGGTACCTCTAGAGGAGGCAGTCAGGGTAGACAGACTCAGACGTACAAATAGCTATACACCGGGATAAGCGAAGTTTGTGTGGTCTTGTTATTGATTTTTGTTTAATTCACTGGGCTGCAGGAGGCGTTTCGGGATTAATTTAACATGGCGGATCAGGGATTGTTGGGAAACTACCTTGGCCGGGGACATCATGCGTGCTTGGAGAAATCTATTCGGGAACAAGATCAGACCGCAGTGGTGCGCACGTGCATGTTGCCTACCTACCACCAGAACAATTTGAAGTTGTTAATTGAAAATACACACAGGTCATTGCCTAAATGAGAGGGCAACTCTTTCCTTCTGCTTCATAGAACCAGGGACGGTAGGATGATGCAGCCCACCGAGCATGCCCCAATGCGAAGAATCAGATGAAACTTGAAGGAAGCCCATGTCGATGCGGGGCAGGTGGTGGGGGGAACGCGTGGCTGGGACCATGTTCTGATGCTGCGCTGACCTTTCCTTTGGCGGGAGTGCTTGTTGGACGCCGCGAGACAGAGCCAAAAATCATGATACCAACCACTACGTCATCGCGACTGGGCGGAGCTGTGAGCGACTCGGACCAAGCGAGCGTCCGCTTCCCCCGCCTCTGCGCCGTCTTCTCCAGTCGGCCCTGCCCTGTGCCTCGGAGGCAGCTGGGGAGGGGTCACCAAGTTGGCTAGGCCTGGGCAATCGTCAGTCTAACACAGCCAAGTACGTAGGACCAAACTGGCGAAATATGCTCCCGCCTGGTGCGCCGCGAGCTGGATGAATGACGCTGTCTCTGGGGCTTTTTGGCACTAGAGCTGGCTGATCCCTGCTGTTTGCATGTGAGTCGCACATTGCTAGTTGCCCTCTCGAGGTGCTACGTCAGACCTTGATTCTGGCTCTTTGCCATGTCATTCGCGGCGGCATGGGAGCCCGACACGGCCATCTTTGGTTGATTGGACCTGTCAATTGAGGAGCGCTCAAGACCCGGCAAATGTGTACATGTATGAATGAACGAAGGCAAACCTTACTGGTTCTCGGCCCTCGAGGGCCCTACATGCATCTGTTTGGTGCAGCAAGAATTGCAATGGCCATGTAGGATAACACAAAGTTAGTGGTGGTGTGCCTTCCATTCTGTAAAGGAACCTGAGTTAAGCATCCCGGCCAGAGGAAGGATGCTCGAGTGATGCGCCAAAGATGAAGCCCATTATTTGGCACTAACAAGTGCTCTACCGAGCTTTGCATGAATTACAGACCACATTTCACCAGTCTCAAAGACACCCATGGCCCGATCTTCAGGGTCCGCCAGTCCCGCCAAGTCTAGCGTGAAAGACAGGTTCGTCCGTCTGCCTCGTCCGTGTGCTGTATTGGAAGATCGCTCCCACAGCACAAATAGCGATCATCATGGACTGGCGCCTGGCTCCAGATCTGGTAGCCACGTCGTCTCGCTGTAGATGCCAGACTAAATGTATGTAGGTCGGCCTCCATTCCGCATGCCAGGTCCAAGACAGTCTTGTCCCTATAGGTACCTAGTTGTTGCCGGTTAGCGGTCGTACAGGACGAAGACACCTAATTTCTGGTCCAGCCTTGCCCAATCAGGCCTAATCAACCAGCTAGCTCTCGGAGGCCCCTCCCAAGTCGCCTAAGAGCCCCCCCAAAAGGAGCATCCCAGCCCATCCTACCGCCTGTCATTGCGTCAACATTTCTCTGGCTGGGCGCAACCCACATCACATCACCAGTCTAATTACATCCACAGCCATCCCCCTTCCACCACCATCTTCCTCTCCCTCTACTATCCATTACCCTCTTCTTTGCTACATGCATGCGCTTCCCGTCCTCATTCCCTCCGTCTTCTATGCATAACTCTATTCTTTACCTTTCGATCTCATAGTCAGGCTCCCCTGGCATTGCAGCCACTCTCCAGTCTGGACCTCCCCAGAAGCCAGTCAAGATCCTCCAGCTTGGGACAGCCCAAGCCCAATTCGCCGGGTGGGGGACACCATCACCGAAAACCTCACACCCGAGAGTGTGAATCAAGGCAACTCCGATACACGCAAGTACATTTGCACGGAGCCCGCCGAATAGCATCCTCTCGAGTACTTTCCCTGACCGGATTCGACAGAACCTCGTCACAGACACATACCCAACATGGATCCCTCGGCGTCGTACCGCAACTCCCAGTTAAGGCAATCATATCACGAGCCACAATTTGATGGCCAAAATACCTACGCTCCTGCCCTGGATGGATCTTCCCAGGCCCAGTACCAATCGCAACAAGGCCATTTCGTTGAGGAGTGGGACGCTACACAACGTGGAAGCTCAATCATAGATGGGCCAAACGGCCACCACCACGATGCCACACAGCCTGCGGACACCATGAGCTACAACCCTGGTGACGATCAGCAACAGCTGGCAACGGCGAACAGGGGGAACTCCCTAAAGAAGAAGAGCTCGACACGACGTACGTTGAGTCTGCGCCGGAGTGGCAGTCGTCGAAGCATGAGAGCTGGTAGTGTCAAAAGTCTGGCTTTGAACCCTGCCTCGGACCCCAACGAAGCTCACAGCGCATTTTACTGTCCAGTTCCAACTTCTGGAAACCCAACCCAGGTTCTCATTGACCGATTTCAATGTATGTCTTGTTTCCTTTCCACAAGCGCCTATTGAACCAATTACCCAGCATTCTGTCGCTATTGTATAAGAGCTAATATGTTGCAGCTTGGCGCAAGGTCCTCAAGGACCTAATTGCCTATTTCAGGGAGATCCAGTCCCATTACGAAAACCGCGGGAAAGCTCTCCTGAAGCTTGCCAACGTTTCCAACAATATCTCGACACCATCCGAGTTCCTCACTTCCGCCGGCATCGACGACGCACTACAGTTTCTCCGAATCTATAACAAGAATGCTATTCTCGAGGCCAACAAAGCCAAAGAGATTGAGGAGGATGTAATCCTAGCACTCGCGGGACTGCGCAGCGACCTCCAGCAAAAGATAAAAGAGATCAAGAACCTATCGGGTGACTTCAAGAACACAGTTGACAAGGAAATGGAGGGCACACGCAAAGCGGTGCGGACCCTACAGGATGTTCTTGGGAAGAATGAGGCGGATGACGCCAGCACCGTTGGAAAGCAGGATCCATTCCTGATGCGCTTGGCTGTGGACCGCCAGGTAGAGCGCCAACTGGATGAGGAAAACTATCTTCATCAGGTATAGCCCAACTACCACACGTTTGAGCTCAGGCATGTGTGCTATGGATGTCCAACTAATTCGTGCGTTATAGGCCTACCTGAACCTGGAGAATTCCGGTCGAGAGCTTGAATCAATTGTCGTGGGCGAGATCCAAAAGGCTTACAATGCCTACGCTGGGATCCTCAAGCGCGAAGCGGACAATGCCTACAATATCATCGATGAGCTTCGTAGCGGGCCCATTTCAATGCCCAAGGATCAGGAATGGATTCATTTTGTCACCCATGATAAACAATTCATCGACCCAACCATCCCACTGCGTTCCGCTGAGCAGATTCATTATCCCGGCCAGGACCACGTGGCTGCGCAGGAGATTCGCGCTGGTTTACTAGAACGAAAGAGCAAATACCTAAAGAGCTACACTGCGGGATGGTAAGTTTCACCCGCCTTGGCCAAACGCAGACAACTGACCTTTTGATATTTAGGTATGTTCTTTCTACCACTCACCTCCACGAGTTTAAATCTGCGGACAAAGGCCAGGCTCCAGTCATGTCCCTATTCCTGCCAGAACAGAAACTAGGGTCCCATTCGACCGAAGGAGGTTCATCGAATAAATTCATTCTCAAAGGTCGACAGACAGGCACCATGCATCGCGGCCATACATGGGTATTCCGGGCGGAGAGCCATGATACCATGATGGCCTGGTATGAGGACATCAAGGCCCTGACGGAGAAGACCCCAGAGGAGCGCAGTCAATTTGTACGCCATCATACGCGTAGCATGAGCCAATCGTCCCGTCGTTCAGCCAGCAGCGACGGGATTGTCGACGAGGACGATGAAGAGCCCTTTTCTGCCGACTCTCAAATCGATGTCAATCCCGGTCCGAGACCTGACACTGCGTCCAGGCGATCACATCCAGGTGGGCGGTTCCCATCTGATATCCAAGTCAATGCACAGCGTGGCTTACAGGCCAGTCGTTCGCCCTCTAGTCTAAGTTCGGTTGGCCATGACCAGCATTCAGCTTCCCAGGATGCCCATCTGATCGCCGCCACCCAGGCCCTCCCTGGATCACATCTCTCTCATGCGGCTGCTACAAATGATCAAGAGCGCGAAAGGGGCTACGGCGAAATGATGGGCCAAGCACCCGTGGATGTCCCATCACACGCTGCTGTTGCCGAGCAAGTAGCTCAGTATGACGGAGTCAACCCGTACACAAGTGAGCCTGTTTCACAACCAATCCAAGGCAGTTACGGTGAGCAGACGACGACCGCCATCGGACAGGCGGCCATCCTGGGGAGCCACGGCAATGGGTCTCAGAACCCCCGAACCAATACAACTGATGGCTCAAACGACAGCAGTCATTCAAACGCATATATTGTCACATCGGGAGGTGACTATTTCAACCAGACAAGAAATGACGCTGGGCAGGCAACAAACTTCCACCAGCAAGGGCATCAGCCAGCTTCCGATGATATTTTAACTCCCTCCACCACGTTGACGGAAAGCACTTTCCATGCTCCTGCTGAGAATATATTGCCGCGCGATGGCTCATCTGAACCAACAAGGCCTAGCAAGAACACAACTAGGAATGACAGTGTAAATACTATCTCTAACCTCCATATTCCAGGAGGGTTCCCGCGAACAGGGGTTGCATAGTTTTTTTTTCTCTCCCAGGCCAAAAGGTTTTCTTTCACTGTTTCGAACAGGTTCTCTACAGCGTGTTGTTGGGGTTTTGGCTTGGATTTTCTTGTGGTTATTTCCAAGATTCAATGGTTGGCTTGGATACTCCTCCTTGTTGGACCAATTGTTTTTGATACTGGGCTTTTTTTTTCTGGGTAGGATTTTCGCGGAGACGGCTGTGGTTGCAATTGGGTGGAAGCTGTCAGGACTACGTACCATACCCTAAATTTCCCTCACCCCCGGAGTGGCATATCGATCGATACCCGTTTTACCGTATGTATAGCTTTTGTCAAACTAAAAAGTCTTCACGCGATCGCCAGCCGTGCCAGACGTGAATCCGTAGAGCACATACAACTTACCAGGTGCCACGAAGTACCTTTTCCCTCTTTGTTCCGACGTCATCGGTGGCGCAATTGAGCCCAAGTGGCGGTGACAGGTTCCAGTGGCAAAGTGGCTGATAAGATAACTCTCGGTCGATGGTTTATCCGACATATTTTACCAGCCCCTCTCTAAGCCAATCGGAGCTCTCGTAGCTGTCCAAGCTCTGCTTGAGGAAAATCGCGACCAGGAAAATTTCCACACATGTAAAAAAAAAAGTTGCGACTGAGATAGGTAGACCAACCTATTTCAACAACTCCCCCAACCGCAACACATCCCCATCAATTCGTAACAAAACCGAAAATGTCATTTCGGGGTGGCTCTCGTGGAGGCCGCGGCGGCGGCTCTGGATTCGGCGGTCGTGGTGGTGGTGAGCAATCCCTTCCCGAGAGATCATGTCCCCAAGTAGCGGCCAAAGCCTAGATTCCCAACCGCCACTTCCACGCAGCGAAATGTACTGACAATATGTGGTATATAGGCCGCGGAGGTTACCAACAGAGAGATTTTGGCCCGCCAGCAACTGTTCTAGGTAAGGATGAACCCCAATCTGCTCACTTTGATAAAAGGCTAGCAGTGGGTGACGATTAGTTCGCCGCCCGCGCTGTCTTGCTTTGTCCTTGATGCACCCAGTACACTCGGACGAGCACTGACTAATTGAATGCCTGTAACAGAGATGGGAAAGTTCATGCACGCCTGCGAGGGCGAGATGGTTTGCGAATCGATCAACCCCAAGGTCCCCCATTTCAACGCCCAGATCTATCTCGAGAACAAGACGGCCGTTGGCAAGGTTGACGAAGTCCTCGGACCCATCAACCAGGTCTACTTCACCATCAAGCCGACCGAGGGCATCCAGGCTACCTCGTTCAAGGAGGGCGACAAGTTCTACATTGCCGGCGAGAAGCTCCTTCCCCTGGAGAAGTTCCTGCCCAAGCCCAAGCCCCCTCCAGGTGCCCCCAAGCCTAAGCGCGCAGGTGGCCGTGGTGGCCCTCGGGGAGCCTTCGGCAGAGGTGGCCCTAGGGGAGGAGGCGGCCGAGGCGGTCCTGGTGGTCGCGGTGGCTTCTCTCGAGGCGGCGGCCGTGGAGGCTCCGGAGGTTTCTCCAGAGGTGGTGGCGGTCGTGGAGGCGGTGGTTTCTCCCGGGGTGGCGGCGGTGGCCGGGGCCGGGGGGGCTTCAGCAGAGGCAGGTAAACGTGCTGTTTTCCAAGCAACGAATGGAGGCATCGATCCAAAGGAGGCACCGAGGTTATATTAGCTTTGTTTGATCTTGTCCAAGGGGACTCCTGGCGTTAACGGAAGGTATTTGGTTTTGAATTCATTCTTTTTTTTCCCTTGCTACTGAGTTCCGTTCCGCATGAGGCAGCTTTGGCCTCTTCTGGAAACAACGGAGGGGGCTTATAAAAACGGCATATAGCTTCACCAATTCAAACAAGGAATTTCAAAAGTGCGAAACTTTCTGCTATGGGGTATATTGAATAATGCCCACTATCAAACTGGGAGCAGGATGTGAACTTCCTCTATATCGGCCATAACGCCAAGCCTATCCTGACAAACACATATTATAACCCAAGTAAAGAAACTGAAACCCGAAACGCATCTCCTTTGCAGAAAATGCTGCGTTGCGGATTTATGGCCAAACACACACAACACAAAGGTGGATGACTAGCCATGCCTAGCCGACGAAATCCATACTGTACCGCCTTGTAAAATATGAGGGCAAAAAGCCGCACTGTAAGAGATCCTTTTCGTAGACAGACACCAAGCGCCGCCTCAAGAATGTGGTGTAGGTATATCTCCTATTCAAGTTGTGGTCTTAAGGCTTTGGTATGCGAATCGTCCGGCTTGTCATCAGGCATCCATGTACCACGAAGATGAGAGCCGCAGGATGGAATTCAAAGACCGAACCCTCGGCAAGCACACCAAATGGAAGGTCATTCAGGATCCAGTGGCGGTGGAGCCAGTAAGCCATGAGACCATCAACAGCGAGAGAGGTAGGAATAGGTGTGCCCTCAAAGTACTTGCTCTTACCGCTCGCATCTTTGGGGAGTGTCGCGGCGGTGACATTGAAACGAGCAAGGCGGGTTAGACCGCAAAGCACGAAAAAGGTCAGCCCAACCGTATCGACAACGGATCGGAGGCCAATCGAGAAGGCCACCATGGCTGGTGCAACTCCGAATGATATCTGTAACGTCTCAATATGGCGAACCTGAGACCCAGATGGATGTTTAGTGAGTAGGGCCAAAACATACCAAATCAGCAAGTGAGTCAAGCTCTTGGCCCATAAGACTACTCTTCTTCCGCCATCTTGCCACCTTGCCATCAAACGCATCGAAGAAGAAGCCGAACGGGAGGAAAATCAGAGCCACCCATAAGTGGTCAACGGATGCAGGGTCGCCAAGCGCGTATCGCAGGGAAGAGAAAATCGACATGGTTCCGCAGAAGCCTACCATGTGACGTTAGCCATAATCCCCGCTGATTTCTGTTAAACAGAGAAGGTTTTATATCAATACCATTGAGAAGGGTGATGAGATCGGCCAGATGAAGAGCCCTGACAAGAGAGAAATGCCCGACATCTGCGGACAAGAGTCTTTTCTGTTTGTCCGCTGCTATATGCACAATCACCATCAAGTTAGCAGATGGTTGTCCCACATCGTAATCGGGTTGCCATTATCATACCGGGCTGGCTGGAGGGTCCCGCATCCTTCCCTGCACCTCCGTTGGAGCTCGTAGGCCGCTTCGACATGACCGGCTAGAATCGAATGTCAAGTTCGAGAATAGGAAATTGATGTAGGAATTCACTGTCCAGGTATTCGCGGGTATGCTGGTGGTGTGGGATGTCGTATGCAAACGGTCGAGGCAATGGAGGGCGAGGTAGGTCGAGGGAGGAGAAGAATGGAGTTGAATAGGGCACGTCAATTCTATTAAACCATTGACGAGCAGAATGGGCTAGAAGGTAAATAATAGTGCCAAGGGGCGTGACAGCGTGCGTGGCTTTATGATCAACACATAGGAATCAGTCTCCAATGCAAAATAAAATGCATGCCGTCATCCACAGCCAAGTCACAGACAACCAAACAAGCAGAACAGGGTTTTGCCTGCTGACTCATCATGAGAGCATTGAACTTGATGATCGCCTACCCTAGAGAAACGCTCTGCTCTAAGCATCTGATACAGTCCTGATCTCGTCTAGGTCGCCGATCAGGCTGCTATCGCAGACAGTACCTAGGTACCAGTTGCATCAGTCATCGGATGTGCACATTGACCCCATTGATGATAAGAAGACTCTATCTTGGTATTATTTACTATCAAATCTGGGCACAAGAACTCCCAGGAGGCCGCACCTGGCGTATGTAAAACCAGCATCAACTGTACTTCATCCAGAGAGATTTGGTATCTGATCTTAGCGGATAAGTCACCTGCTCCCTCTTCAAAAGCAGGCAAACAAGAAAGAAAGATATACACGAGAAACAGCAGAAAGAGCAACTGACTAATCCAGACCATGCGTAACCAAACCTAGGCTTCCTACCAAATGCCTAGTTCCCTTTCCTGTTGTCAACGTCAAACCACCGTATGACGGGCGTATTAAGCATACATGAATATAGCCAAGTATGCGTGCGTGCGTGTATTAGATGCTGTGTAGTCCAACGAGAAAAGAAAAGTATACCTTCCCAACAAGACGTATCAAGTATTGGGCATCCTCTGACCAAGAGAACAATAGACCGAAATACAAAATGCCGACCCGCGATTTCATGTACGGTATGTATGTATGTGTGTGTGTATGTATGTATGGCGTTCATCATCGTTGAATGAGTATCGAAAAACTGTCGAGCCGTGCGCCACACGAACCAGATACACCGCAGATGGTGTATCCACGTGGTGGTATTAGCAAATGGCTGGGACGTACTTGTTAGCTGAGTTTCTATATCCATGTTGTTGGATTCGTGAGGGGGTTGAGCAGGACTAACCCGTCGCCGCCAAATGGTTTGCCAAACACAGGCGACTTCCGGCCCAAACTTGTCAAAATTTGAAGAGCATCTATCCAGAGACCTGCTCTGACATAAAAGCCACTAATGTACTCGCCGCGGCGAACGTCTGGATCAGGTCAAATGTTAACAAAGCTGGATGTTCCAGTATTCACCATGACTATAGTGTCCACACTCACCAAGATCAAAAACATCTCCATTGGTTTCGTCGCTTTTCATGCCTAGAAGCTGCGATGATTCGTCGTCGTAAATGAACTGAAGGCCGTGAACGGCCTCTCCATAGTAAACAATGATACGAGACAGCACCCTATCCTGTCTCGTCGCACTGATAAAAGCCATGTCCTGGAATTGATCATCCGTGATCTCTGGCTGGCCCATTGGTTTGCTGCGGAAGGCTAGAGTGCTGTTCTCCAGCTTAACGGATGATTTCTTGGAGACAAATGCGATAAAATCGTCAACGTCCACCGATTGTCCACCATGTGACTTGATGGCTATCTTCAAACCAGCTTTCCTCTTTGCCTCTGGGAGCCTCTTGCGTAGGTCTTCCTCAGTCAACGAAATTTGCTTTTGAATGTGGCCAGCGTCGGCCGGGCATTCAATCCAAGTTCCACAAACATCATCCCCCTCGCAGTAGATCTCCACAAACGAAATACCAGTTGCAGCTGTGGCTAGCAACTGACCTCCATCGGCCGGGAAAACTTGAACGCCTTCGTCAAAGTTCATCGGAATATCGTTTGGGAGCCTAAAGGCAGCATGGGCGCGAAATCTCAGACAGTCCAATCGATGCCACTCACACTCAGTATCTGTCCAGCAGAAGCCACCCTTGGTCTTGGTTCTTGTAGAGTAGGCTTCGCGCGACACGAAACTTCTATTGAACACAACATAATCTCGCAACATGACGCCCCCTTCCTGATGTGGGCATCCAAATAAGTGCCCGGTTTCGTGGAGATGACCACCAATTCCGATATTTGCGGCTTCCCAGGAGCTTCCGGAATCACTGCAGTTGGAGACATGATTGCTATCAGTAGGCGTGCAATCGGTAAAGGCAGGAACAACCTCCTCGATGCTGGCCGGATAGCTGTATAAGCAATGCGACCCGAAGACGGCAAGGTTCAAATCGCCAACAGCACCCCCCAACGCAGCATGCCCCGTTACGGTCTTGGACGCAGGATCCCAATGGGAGTCGAGTAATAAAGCCGACACGTACTGTTTCTGGCCCGGTAGCGGGTCAAAGTACTGCTTGACAGCATCCGCGACGATGCTTAGCAGGCCTTCCTTATCATTAGTAACATCGATATCCCGCAGCTCCGCAACGCTCCGTTCAGATCGAATGATGTGTATTCTGGCTTCGGATCGCATGGTGCCGTACTCTCTGTCACGGTGGTTGGCTGTTCCGGAAGTCCACTCTTCTTCGAATCTAAATGCCCGTCGCCCCATCTTGTGTCTATACATTTGCTCCGCCGTGAAGGCTTGCCAAAGGTAGGCAGCCATACGAAACTTTCTGACTGCTGTGTCCAGCCCATTCCCTTCCCGTTCAGCTCGCGCAGGAGGAGCATCAAAGACACCTGGAGAGTCCTTGCCTAAAACGATGGCGAGTTGAAGTGGAGGAGCACTGGTATTCGGCATCATGTGAACGGTAAGGTAAGAAGCATGAATGGGGTTCGAGGTGGTTGAATTGGCCAATTTCGGGCTACTGAAGTCAAACCGGAGCTTGTTGGGGCCGGGCTGCAGATAGATCATCGCTTTGAACCTGGACTCGCAAACAGGCCAGCTGGTGGCGGGGATGTTGTCATCAAGCCTCGTAATGGTAAGACTACCATCAAGGCTGTGGTTGTGAAGTTCAGAGTCGCCGATTGACCCATGGACAAGCAGGGCTTTTTGGTAAACCCACGCATTCTCGGGTACGTTGTGTATGCGCGGAGCATATTGCGATATAGGGGCGTTTGGTCTCCCATGGTTGGAAGGAGCTCCAAGACCCGACATGCCTGAAACGCTATGGCGATTCGACAAGGCAGCCGGAGTAAGAGGCGGCCGGGCCTGGGGCTGTGCATACTGCTGTTGAGAAAGACCCAGAGAAGATTTTGAATCCGAAGCATCCTTCACCTGAAGATGCAGAGCTGGGTCGGACTGGTAAGCTATCGATGGAGGAGTAGCAGAGCCGCTTGGCGGGCCAGTGCCGCCATTACTGGTGGCGCCTTCGCTCGATGTGTCTGTAGAACGATCCGTGCGGAAGCTGGCTCTTGACCGGCGTCGAAGACTCTTCAAGAAATTAGGTGCCATAGCGCCCGGGAGAGGGGGCAGGATCGTGAACGAGTGGATTGGTAGATGTTGGAGTATTGAATCGATCGATCGCCAGCGACGGCCGGGTGCGCAGAGGGAGTAGATGGCCAGATGCGTATTCTCGTGGCCTCGTCGGTGCTGACGACGCGATGGAGAAGGACGAATTGGCCGCTCCACGCGATAAGGAAATGACGAATTGGTTGCTGCTACGCCAGGCAGGCTATAGAGTTGTTTGATTAGCCACTACTACGTTGTATGGGCTCGTATTGTGAAATAATATGGAGACTGACCCGCCGAGTGCCAATCGTCGCAGCGAGGAACAGTTGCTTGCCAAACCGAGCTGACAGCAGCTGATGCCGTGTCGTCGTGAGGGGGCGCAGGGGAACGCAGGGAAAGGCTATGTGACAAATGAGCGCAGCCCAAAGGCTAACTCGGGTTGTTGGTTGGTGTTGTGCCGCAAGCAGCAAGGGGGAGATCGAGACGATCGACAGCTCCATCCTGCCTGCCACCGCCGTAATACGAGAATGGAACCGTGGTGGGCAGGTGCTGGCCTGCCGATGATGTAAGGTTCTCAATTCGGGCCGTCTTGCACCAGATTGCTGGGCGACAAGGAAAGGGCCATGAGCTGCGTCGCAGAAAAGGAGCAAGAATTGTCGGGCATTGTGGCATTATCTCAAAGATTGAATGGGTTCGACATTCTATCCAATCATAGGTTGTCCGGTAATGTCTCATTCTTTCTCATCTTCACTGTACTTGTCTTATTAAAATACCTATTATTCTGCTGCTTATTATATATAATATAAGCCCTCTAAAGGAATTCTAGATATAAAAAAACTATATATTTTTTTAAATCAGAAGAAGATATTTTCTTTTTTCAAAAAAAAAAAAAAACTAAAAAAAAAAACCAAGGCTTAGTTTCTCTAATTAATAAATATTATTATATAATCATCGAGCCTGTATTGTTCCCAACTCAGCATCATTGGATTGGAACTACCTACCTACCTACCTACCTACATATGCTTCCACAGCCCCAACCGGTATGAAGGATAGGGCTATTCTTCTGTCAATATCCTAGATCTATGCTGACCAAGGCTATGTATAGTTCAGAAATTCTCGACCTTTACTACACTACTCACAATATGACAACTGAAAATACACGTATTGAGCTTTGCTTTCAAGATAACGACCTCGGTCCCTTCGCATGCCATAAGCATATGCTGATCAAAGATGGCCAAGGCAAACCGAAAAAACAGAAACTTGATCTTACTGTGCGCGACCGCGATATCGTCTTTTGCGTTTCCTTGGATGCATCTACTGTCTGCGTATTACACCTGCAGTGTGTTCGCGAGGATACCGTAGCAATGGCACAGGTTGCTATCGAGGAGCTTTTGGATGAGCTGAAGTCATTAGATAACAGAAACAATGACCTTACGATCACGGTGGAGATTAAGAAAGAGGATGCTAAGGATGTGATTCATTATGAATTTCAGAAATTTATTGCTGCACAGGCTGAGAAGCGTGGCCTTAAGTTCGAATGGATGGAGGGAGGTTACTCACGGGGAATACTACGGGCTCTCCATGAGCAGGTATATTTAGAGCTGGGATGGCGTAAAAGCGGCGCTTGGGAATCGAGGAGTGGAAGACGCCATGGAGTTGGGTCAAGGCAGTTTGAGGCCAAGGAGCGAGAGGAGCGAAAAGAGCAAAAGAAAGGAAAGAAGGGATATGTGGCTGGCCTAAGTAGCAATGGCCCTGACTCCATATAGTTCTTCTACTTTGTCAGGTCTTATAAGTTTATGTAACTTTTGGTAATTAAATCTTTGACTGGATGCGATGGCTTGATTTTCTTGTCTGCCTCCCTCTGTGCCGCCATTCAAAGCAAGACTGACCCTTTTACAGGACACCTTATACAAGTGGAACAGGTCAGCCGCAATCTGCTTCGCCTCGCCCATCTTATCAAAGTGATACGGAAGAGAAAGAGAATAAATTTCAACAAGTATGAGTGACACATGCTTCCTAATTAGACGCCAATGCCGGCAAGCAGCGCTAGAACTAAGCGAGGCTCGCTCGTCAAGACGGAAGACAGCCAGGCCAGCTAGGTACGCAGCTGTTACTAGTCACAGCAACGGACAGGTTGATCAGCTTGGCAGCAATCGCTCGTTTTCACAGCAGACAGCTATGTCGGCAACGCAGCGATCTCTCGTCATATCGGAAGACAGCTGTGTGAGGTCTGCAGCAATCGCTCGTCTTAACGGAAGAAAACTAGGTCGGCTCCGCAGCTATCGCTCGCTCGACGGCAGACAGACTGGTTAATCTTACAGCTATCGCTCGTCTTAACAGCAGGCAGCTGGGTTATGCCCATACGATCACTCGTCTTGACGAGGGATAGGCTGGTCAGCTTTACAGCAGTTAGCTATTTTAACGAGAGACAAGTCAGACAGGTCTGTAGCGATCGCTAGGTAGTTATACAAGACCGTGATGCTGGCAGGCCATCATAGGGGTAGGCAAAGCTGACGAAGCCGAGGGTTTATGTGTATATGATCCACCTTACCTGCTCAAGGCAGCTCGAGGCAGAATCTGTTGATTGCATTCGCCTGGATCACGGCGGATAGGATCAGATTTACCTGTTCGAGGCAGCTGTTGATTGTAGTTATCTAGATCGCGGCGGATAGAATCGGACCTACCTGCTCAAGGCTGCTTAAGGCTGCAGCTATTAATTGTTTTCACCTGGATCACGGTCAGTGGGATCGAGGAGGAGTCTGACTTACCTGCCCGAGGCTGCAGCTATTGATTATATTCATCTAGATCGCTGTAGATAGGACCAGACTGATCTTGTCGAGGCCGCTCGAGGCTGCTGCTGTTGATCATATTCATCAGTATTACGGCGGATATAATCAGACTTATCTGCTTAAGGCTGCTCGAGGCTATAGTTATTGATTATATTTATCAGTATTACGGCGGATAGGATTAAGATTACATACTCGAGGCTATAGCTGTTAGTTATATTTATAATATCTATATATATACTTTCTTATTATACTATTAAATATCTTCTTTAAGCTTTATAATAATATTATTAAAAATAAAATAAATAAAAACTAATTTTCTATTAATTAATAACTAATTATTTAAAAATTTAATAATTAATATAAATTAATATTCTCTTTATTATTATATAATATAACTTCTCTTATAATTTATAATATATATATAAAAGTATAATTTTTTAATTTTTTCTTATAATATTAAAGATTTAGATATTTTTTTTATAATTATTACTATATATAAAGAAGATAT